TGTGTGTGATCTTTTGTGAACACATCTGCAAATCAACATGTCGTTGGACGAAATCAAGTTGATATCTCCCTCTCTCACTCTCCGTCCCTCCCCCCTCTCTCACTCTTTCCCTCCCTCTCCCTCCCTCCCTCCTCTCCCTCCCCCTCTCTCTCTCTCTGTCTCTCCAACTCACCTCCCAGTCTTGGTTATGATCATCTCAGTCCCCAACTCATGGAATTTGTCCCACAAATCCTTGGTCTCCAGACGACATTTTATCTTGCTGGTGACGTCATCCGCGCCCTCGTTCTCCACTTTGATGTCTGCTATCCCAAGTTTCTCCTTGTACGGCGTGGCGGGAGAAGCGATCTGGACGTCTGCAGCGTCCGTCTCCACGTCCACCTCGCACTCACCAGCTGGTGACCTTGGCCCAGATTCGGAGGTCAAGGACGGCGTTGGGGTTGAGGGTCGAGAGTCTGTGAGTTTGGTTCGGAGGGCAATAGAGAAAGTGATATTTTTTTTAAATTACATGGCGACTTGATCTTAAAAAAGAAAGAAACAAATAAACAAACAAAGACAGTAAGAAAGATAGAAAGAGAGAGAGACAGAAAGACAGAAAGAGAGAAAGAAAGAAACACACCAAAAAAGTAAAATGGATTTTTTAAAATAGATTATAAGCGAAAAAGAATGAAAAGAAAATAATATTTCTATCAATCAATAAATTAACAAGTCAAGCGTTCGGTCAATAGAGACATAATAAATTAAAAAATATCAACAATAAATAGTTAATGAAAAGGTAAAGGGTTTTTTTTTAATGAAACAAAAAGATACACCCCAAAAATCTTACAGATAATTGTACCCGTGTTCGTTTTCACAACCAACTTGGGGGATTGAGCTATTTAAAAAAAACTATCATAACGAACAAAAACTGTCAGCTATCTAACATTTTTCCGATAAATCATGATCGTGTGCTCTTTAAGTCAAAGACTGGTTATAAGTCGCAAGTCGTCAGGGTGTGTGTGAACTGATCTCAAGCTCCTCGTAAAATCTGTTATGATATACCTCGCAATCCTGACAACAATCTTCCTGAAGTAGAAATATTTACGACCGCACCATCCTCTCTGTTATATAGTAAAACTGAGTAAAACTGATACTGTTGTTATCTTCATGAGCATCGCCACTCGGCCCGCTGAAGGGTGTCGCTTCCTGCACTATTCTCAAGTGGTAACAGATTTGATCTGCTGTTGGCTGTTGTGTTTTTGCCCAGAAGATATCCAGTAGGATTTCTATAACTGTTTTAGAGTTGGTTACATGTGTATCTTACGGTATACTCCAAGCGAAATGCGGTATATATTTTTTTTAAAGCAAAGAAACAAATGGATTTCGAAGCTGCATATATGTATAATTTGTTCCTTCTTTCTCTTCTTCTGCTCCCCCTCCCTCTCTCTCTCTCTCTCTC